GTCCGGAGCCGCTGGCAGCGTGTCCCCTCTCGTCCCCGCCGCAGCCCGCGTGTTTCCGACACGACACGAACGTGGCGCGGGAGGCATTTAAATATTCGGATCTGTAATACTGAAGGGTTACTCTTACAACAAAGCAGTTACAAAATGTACAACAAAAACCTAAGCAGAGAAAGGTGGCCGGGTTGTGCCCTGCTGGCAGGGGGTTCCGTGCCCGTGGTGACCGCGGTGCCCTCAGCCCTCGGGGCCCCGGCTCCCAGAGGAAGTTTCCGCGGGAGCTGCTGCGAATAACGGAGAGGAGAACCGGGTCTTCTCTCCCCAGACGTCCAGCGCTGCGCGGTTGCCGTTCGGTGGCCGGGCGGGGCGAAGCTGCAGCAGTCCCCCGGCGATGGCGGGCACAGCCCAGTTCGCTGCGCCCTGGGCCCGAGGAAGGCACGACCTAGGTGGGGTTCAGGACTCGGCGTGGCTTCATCCCGGACTCGCGTCGTGGAGAGCGTCCCTCACACCTTTGCCAGCTGGAAGCCTGGTGAGGCTTCGTCGGCCAACAGCCCTTGAAGTGATTAAATGAAAAAAAAAAGGCATTTTTTGTCTGAGCCAGATTACAGGCATTAGGATAGCAGCGACGTTGGCTTTGCCAGCCGGGACTAAAATTAGGTCGCGTGATTTATTTCGCAGCTTGTTTGGGTGCTGACAAACGGTGCCAGATCTGCACGAGGATTCCCCGAGCTGCGCTGGTGGGGGGGGAAGAGAAGCTGGAGGGGAGAACGGCGGGAGGGCAGAAGTCTGTCACCCCTCGCTGCTGCTGTGCTTTTGTTAACGTGCCAGTGCCCCTGGGCAGGAAGAGGAAGGACGTTCTGTAAATTCTGTAGCTATTTGAGATTTCTTTTTAAATAAAAAAAAAATCTTTAAAGTTCTCTTCCGCTAAAGGAGGCTGGCTTGTCTCGTACAGCGAAACGTAAGCTGAGAAGGAGCGTGGTTGCAGCCTGTAAAATACGTCAAGAGAGTAGAGATGGGGAAGGGAGAGCAGCTGGAGGGTCATGGATGGAAAATAGGGCCTGCATGAATGTTTAGACTGGAAGTTGCAAGTCTTCTAGCTGCTGAATGTCATGGGAAATCATGCCAATGGGAACAGCAGGGATCAAAAACTGTGTCTTTAAGAGGTGGACCTTGACAATTTTTTAAGGCATTTTGTAATGAGGCTGCTGGTTGGAAAACACCATGCTCATCGACCCTAGTGGTCCTTTCTCAGCTCACAGTTTTCTCAAAGCAAGTGATTTTTTTGGTGTGCTTTTCTATAAACGTATTTGCGGTAGTTCAAAACGCAAAATAGAAAATCTCTTTGAAATTCATGACTCCTTGTGACGAGGTTCAATTTTCTGTGTTGTTTGCCTTAACAAGAGAAAAGCAATAAAGAGCAAAATTGAAAGCATCATTTGGGATTAAAGTTCTCACACAAGGAAGCCTTAATTTTGGTAATGTTTCCGTAGCTAAATGACAAAGAAAAGCATTAGGGTATGTGTGTGTACGTATGTGCTTGGGAATAGCGTCAGCATTTCACGCTTGCTTTACGCATTTGCTCTTCTGTGCAGAAGTTGCAGCGCTTTTCAGAGTCCAACGCTCTTGACCCCGACCGGTTCCAAGAGACCCGTTTGAAGTTTTCAAGATTTTGTGTACATATGTAAAACCACTCAGAAAAGCAGAACATTATAGCCAAACTCTGACCTCTTAGAAAATCTCCATTTAGGAATGCACGCATGCATCATTGCCATTTGTCCAACCTGAACCGCCTTTGGCTTGCTCGCTTCTGGATAACCTAGAAATTCTGGAGTTTCAGGAGTGAAAGCTGAAATACGGAGACACTGAGTATTTATTTGGACTAAAATTAGTACATTTATGATTTGAAATCCTTCAGTAAACGTTGTGGGTTTCTTTCTTTTTTTACACTTTTTATCTGCTCGTTAAACCTGAGGTTGGATCATTTGACAGCCAAAGGGTGACTGAATCACCCAAGGCGGGCTGGTGTGGTGCCCGCCACTCCACGATGGTGACCCGAGCTTCCAGATGGAGGGCACCTCCTTCTGCCGCGCTGGGGCGAACCCCGAGAACCCGTTTTCCCGGTTGTAAGCTCTCTACTTCTCACCCTAACGTCATGGAAACGGAGCAAACGGCGAGCGGGGGAACTTGAGCTCCCGGCACGGAGAAAAGAGCGGCAGTGAGATACCGGCATGCGGCAGTCAGGGACACGGGCAGAGCCGCCTCCCCTCAGTCCCTTCCCCTGAGGAGAGCCGCGCGCTGGACTGAGGCAGCCCTGAAGTAACCCGGCGCGCGCCGCCAACCGCCGCCCAGCCGGACCACGCCTCCCAG